TGGGAAGCCACAAAACTGGACGTCCTAGAGTTTCGCTTTGAGGGTTTGTGCTCACCTAAAAAGCTGGAGCCATGTGCACCACGTCCCAGGCTCCCCCTGGCATTTGAAAACAGCTTTTCCCACTCCTCTCCCTCCTTTTTTCACCTGCAGCAAAAACCCAGTGCGAAAGCGGCAATGCGTTCGTCACTGAGCTACATCGCTCTTCAGCTGTGGCTCCACTGCGGGGAGTAAATCACAGCCCGCGGCGTGGCTCCCCGATCCCACCTCAGACAGGCGTTTCCTCCAAGGTGCCGAACCCGAATGCCTAAACTGTCACTGCGAAAACGAACGCATGGAACGCCTACTTGGTCAGGCAGTCATGTCCTAAGTGCCCCTTAAACTCCCCGAAGCCACTGGCCAGGCAGCTCCCCGCTCCCTAGTGTCTGTTTTCACTGCACAGAGAAAATGAGTGAAGTACGACAATCCGTGTCTCGCACTTCCTATCCAGAGTCTTCTGTCACACACCATCTTCTTAGTTAAACGTCTTTTATTTTAGCATTTCCCTGAAAGCCCCCAATAAGACAGGCAAGATTAAAAAAACATGAAAAATTAAAATCAGGAGGACGCTGCTCTTGATCTTACCCACAAAAACTATGTGCCTGCTTTGCTTTCACCCAGCCTGGAGTGAGATCTCCACCCGCAGGACAGCTCAGCTGACCTCGGTTCAAAAATTTGCAGCCCTGTTTGCTCTACTAAGCACCAAAGTTTGTTCTGAAACTCGACACCGGATCCGACACCGCGCGTGTACTTTACACACCATTAGTAACAGGACTGGGCAGGCACGCGCACCCTGCACACACATGGAGAGAGCACGGACCCTGCAGAAAGGAGCCTGAGGGCACCGTCTTTAACACGATTTATTCACAGGAAAATTCTCTTTCCATCCATAGCATTCAAAATTTCACTCGAAACGGCTGTAAGAACGTCTTCAAAATACAGCTGGCACTTTAAAGGCATATAAAAGTTCAGACAAACGGCGCATAAAATAGGTATTTACTGATACCAAAAACAGATGTTGAGCTTCGTTTGTTCTTAAAAATCAGACTTAAAAGTTCAGGTACTTATACTGCCTCCCAGGGCATTGTTAAAACGGGAAGCTGGCACAGGAAACAAGAGGTACCACACACAGTATTAAACACCAAAGCTGTGATTCTGTATTGTTATCACCAATAGTCACTAGAAAGGTCATTTAGTGATATCTTCTGGGCACTCTCAGATTCGTGTTCAGTGCAACAGTTTGTGACCTTCCTTCTCACGTCGTGTCTCCGTACTTCTCTTAGTTATTACAGCAAAGGAAAAAATACTTTTCCAACAGAAAATAAAGAAAGAAACCCTCCTACAAGTCTGAGCCAAACAGAGCGTTCAGCTGACGCGTGTCATCCTGCCCACTGCGTGCAGCTTTGGGCACTCAGAGCTGGGCCTCTCTGATGGTGCAGCGTTTCGAGGGGCGCAGCAGACAAAACGCAAGAGCACCTTTGCTGTAAGATGCTGCTGTCTAGAAATTCAGCAGGCTGCTGGAGAGCAGGACAGAGAAGGAAGGGATGAGACCATCTCGCTTTGCAACCGACACAGGAAGAAAATTCATGGGAGACACTGGGTGCCTATAGTTACACCTTTACCAGACATGGAAATAAAGCTGGCAGCACCCTGGGATTCAAAATTTGACACCTTCGCTACTGCTGCTGTGATTAAACAACCAGGGCAGCTTTGAAGGAAAATTTCAGTGCAGAGACTTCACTTTCAGAAATGGCAAAAAGGGAAAAAGAAAGTCTGAATAGCAGCTCACTGTCAGAAAAGATGGAAGTATCTGGCGTTAGCGTGATTGCTTGTTTCAGCAAATCCCAAGGCAAGTCTTTGGTATGGCAAACGCCCGCGAAAACGCACGCCCCGACCGAACAGCCGCTGTGATCCGCGAGCGTTTCTGAGAAACGCGCTGTGTATCCGCATTCTCGCGGCACGCAGTCAGTGTGAAGGCGATGGCGGTCCTCGGCGCAGAGGAGCAGAAAGGACCGTGTGAAGCAGGTGATGAAGTAGGGCTGATGGACACAGAATCCTACCAAAACATCTTCCAGGGGGAAAATTAATCACTTGGCTCACTGCTTCTTATTGAAGAGAACAGCTACTGGCCTGTAAGCTGAGCTTTCAAAAAACCCAGTACTCCGTGGTTTACCAACAGCATCAGCTCTTGGCTCAGTCCTAGGTGAACAGGTCTGGCCCTAAACGTTACTGTCACCCTGTGACAGCCACCAAGCACCCGCGGACTTAACATCCCTGCAGGAGCAGAAAAGTGGGAGAAAAATATCCCTGGGAGTGTTGCTTCCTTCAGAAAGAAGTCAGTCATACCCATGAGAAGGTTTACTAAGAACAGGTAAAACGGAGCAGCTGATAGGGACAAATGCTTGTAGACAGCATGTTAAATGCATTGAGGATATCAAACACATTATCCAAAACAAAATGACTAAAAAAACCCACCAAACACTAATCTTAGGGAGACCAAAAAAGCTGATGTGGTTAAAAAAAAACCAATAAAGGAGTCTATTTTAAATAAAAAGTTTTGGGGATGCCATTTGTTTGCTATGAAGCCTTTTTTCCTTTTTTTTTTTTAATTGTAACTATAGCAGAACAATCACCCCCTCAAAAAAACCCCAAAAACTTCCTAGGAAAATTAGGAGAAGGAAACAGTTTAGATTAGTGGGCAGACGAAGAGGAAACAAAGCAGAGAAGATAAGCACATATGCAGAAGCACAGCTCCCTACCCACCTCCTGCCACTGGGGACAGGGGTGAATAAGCAGAGGGAAGCAGCCTGCGCCATGGCCAAAACCAGGCACTGTGCAGAGGGGGAAATTCAACAGCTCTCCTGGAAAAAAGTCCTCACAGCCAGTGTACTGCCAGATGTTATGTGGATGCAGCCGGACTCACAGTGGCAGCCCATGGAAGCGCTGGGGCAGATCGGCTCTGGGAGCAACTGCAGGTTTCAAGGGGGAAGAGGCCACCCTCCACTTCTGCCCGGCTCCACTCTCAGCAGAGCCTGAGGTCTGCCGAGGACTTCCACTGAGAGAGAGCTCAGACAACACCGCGAGCTCTGTGAACAGCCTTCCGTTGGCGGTGTTTCCGTGTGGAATGGCTATTGTCAGTAAACCACTGCAGGTCTGGGGCTGCAGAGGCACACGCAAACCTCAAACCTTTTTGATTAACTGAAGTAATCACAAGAACTGACGGCTGGTAGAACTAAAGACAGTAACACCACTGTTCACTGGTGCAAAACCCCACCTGTTTGTACACAGATTTTTGAGCGAAGACTTCCTCAAAGGCAGAAATGTGCGTGTTTAAAAGAGAAAAAAAAAAAAAGGAAATGCAAGTATCTGAGCAAGAGCCCTTCTGCCAGCCTTGTGAGGAAATTCTTGTTTCTTCCATTTCCACCAGAGTCACCTGCTCCAGTGTCCCCAGGATCTCTCATGCTCCCTTCTCCACAATCTCTTGTGTCTCCTTGCACGCAGCTGGACAAGGGGCCACCCCCTGCACCACCACCTGCAGCAGATGGGCCCCATGGCACAGCCTGTCCATTGCTGGGCACACGGCTGGGTCCTTCCCCGCCCTCTGCCACACATTTTTGTGACAGCCGCAGTTATTTCAGGTACGTCCAGTTTGGTTGAAACGGACCAAAGCTCAGGAGTCATTAGGTGAAAACGCCACGTGAGAGCACAAGCCCCCTCCCCTCTGGCTGTGGCTCCCCTCCAAATCACGCTGCACTCACTGATTTCCAAACGACAGCGCCCAGGAGCTAAAGAAGGAGACGAGAACTACAGGAAGGTGGGGTTTTTAAGTACCTATTGCACTCCACAAGCGAAATATGAAAAAGGAAAGATGACTCTTTGGTGACTTCAATGCTTATTCCTCTACATCGCTGTGTTCAGTCCTCCTGTGATCCTCAGCTTCTGAAAAACACAAGTACTGTGCTCTTGACCTGCTAGAGAGGTTTGTATTCGTATTTTAATTGTTTGCACTGCTCCTAAACATACTAAAGCTCTCTAAAACATTTTATTAAAAAGCAGCAAAGGTTTTTCTACCAACTATAAAGACTTTTTTTTTTTTTGAGGTGGACTTCTTTGTGCTTTTTCTAGGTCAAGATAACCACAAGATCTTGAAGCAAACCCGCCACAATTACAAAAAATATATATACACTCTATGAGAGAATTAGAACAGCATATTACTTGCTCTTCTTTGACAGTTGTCAAGGACAACAGGCAGATTTAACTTATTCAGCAGGCTTGTCCAAGACAAACCAATACAGGAAACATAAATGTCCCATTAAATGTTTCAGTTAAAATCCCGAGTTAAGTTCCCAGCGCTAAATGATTTAGTTAAGCCACATCCTTTAAACCTAAATGTCAAGGCAGGAGAGGTAAACGGAAGCCAAATGATAATTCAGCTGAGGTACATCTTAGATATTCCCAAGCACACTCTTCGGCCGAAAACAGGAACACTCATGGCTCATATTGATGCATTCCGAAGGTGGAAAGGCATTACAGCATCTGAGAAAGTAGATTGTGCTGGTTTGGAAAAACACACCTCGATTCTTGGGGAACAAACAGAAAGATACACGAGATCCTGCCCTGGAGATCCAGGAATCCAACAAACGTTGGCTCTAAATTTAAACTCGGGTGTGAACATCTCCATCCCAGCTCACATTCCTGTTGTGGTCCAGGGGAAGTGGCTGACATGCAGGTAGTTAGGACAACTGTTCAGTCTTCATACTCCCTCTTTTCTAAGTCACCAACTGTAAAATTTATTGGGGCAGCACGGGGGGAAGGTGTTCCATAAACCGGGTACAACACAAGCACTGTCAATACCAACATCTCCGCAACTCGGACCGAAGGGTCTTCACCTTTGGCAAAGGCAGGCAGCAAGTCGGAGTGGGCGGCCAGTGCAGGAGCTGTGGCTTCTCTGCTGAAGGTGGACATCCCCTCCTCAGTAGGGCAGATTAAAACCTGTACACTCTGTGTGTTGCCCCTTCTCCAACCACACAACAATGATTTATAGGTATTGCTTTGAAGCCATTTTCATACTGCGAGACAGACATTCAACACTTTACATCCACCTACTAACGAAACACTGGTTGTCTCCATCTCTTGACAGTGTAACTCTTTTGGAGGACAGCATTGGAAACGGAAGTATTCCAGAGAAGTAATCATTTGGAAAAAGTTCTTGCTGATAAATAAGTGATGTGCATCATACATTTTTATATATCCCTGATACTTTCAGCTGAAAGTTTCATGGTTTTCCCATTATTAAATAGCTTCACAGAAATTCAGTTAACTCTCTTTGCAATAGTCCATTACCCTTAGGCTTAGCAAAAGCTGCTGCCTTGGTGAGGTTTCTGTGCTCCTTTTAAACAGTAAACAGTTACGCTGCACTTAAAAAATAAAAATGTCATACAAAAAATAAATTTTTTTTCCAAATCTTGAAAATAGTGATTGTATTTTCCATTTCTCTTTCACGTCAAATTGACCACAAAGTTCTTGTCTATAAGCTTCTTCAAAAATTTCTGCTCAGCGTCGATGTTGTGGTATTCATTCTAAAGAGATGTGAGGGAATAATAAAAAAAAAAAAGAAATTCAAATTATTACCAGAAGCATTACTTCATTGTTCTTTCCTTTTAATTACCTGTGATAGCTGGGAGATGCCAAGAGTAGGAAAGCTCTGGGGAAAAGACTTCTTAGCAAAGGCTGTAGCACAGTCTCCCAAGAAAACAGGTGAGTTTTGCTGTTGCAAATTGCTCAAAACTAGGTGAGATTTCCCATTAGGACATAAACCCAAAGGGATGATCCTTCAGTGGCAAGGTGAGATGTGATCTCACAGAAGTCCCTTCTGTTACTAACTCTCCCAAGTCCTCCCCGTGCTTAGAGAGAACAGCTGCATAATCACATTGACAGCACAAGCAGTCAGAAAATGACGGAATCTCAAAGCTCAATGCAGGTTTTGAAAAGCACACACTGAGCATCTGCAAATCAGATGCGTCCTGCCTATCAGTTTCAAGAGGTCAAAACCATCTTCTGTGCTGCATCCAGATCCTGGGTACACAGGACATCACTCAGGTTAGTGGAGGACAGCACAAGGGAAGTCAGCTTACTGGCTGCCTTAGACACTGAATCCAGTAAACTGAAATGAATACAAACACTGCATAAAAGATTATGCATGTATAGTATAATATTTACAACTAAAGAATTAATGATAAGAGTTTTGTTCAGTTGTTTGGCTTTTAAAAACCGTCAAGATCTTAGAAAACTTATGGATGTCAGTTCAACTCGTGATCAACCTTACGCTAGCTTTGTATACATTGCAAAAAAGCACCTGCAGAGAGGAACCTCAAAATGAAGGCGAGGTCAGTGTCAGAGGAAAACTATCTCAGAGCAGTGGGCACCTAAGCGTCCTCAGAGACATGAGTGGCTCCTCTGGACATTGCCCCATCCTCCTTCTTCAAGAAAGGGAGGAGAGAAAACAGTCCTCACTTACACACACTGGGCATGCACATGGGAGAGAAAACTGTTCGCATGGAGGTAAAGAGCTGAGATGGAGTTGCTCAGAGTACAGAGCTGAAGACACGAGCACAGACAGAAAAGAAAACCGAGGCATGACTGCAGCAAAGCAGGAGGGCCCTTCTCTGCAGGATGGGAGGAGGAGGCACCCCTGATGTTTGCAGCCTCCTGTGGCTCACTCCCCTGGCAAGTTGTGGCTTCCCCCTCCTGTAAGCAGCTTCTTCTCTTCCTACCCTCCTCTAAGAACTACTTTGCTTTTCTGCTTTCCAGTTCTGAAACTCAGCTCTTTTCCTAATTGCAAGCTTATAGATCTTTAACTCCTTCCTTTCCACTGCACTCTTCTTTCTCTTTTTTAAGAGATTTGGCAACTATGACAAACTGTGCCAGTAGCTGCCAAGGAAAAAAGAGAATGCAAACAGAAGCAACACTACACGTGTTCTGACAGTGCTAGCAAATATGCTGCATAGCCTAAGGAAAATGCCAGTAAAGCAAAACGGAACATACAAATGGACATATCGCATGCAGACGTTGCAGAATACGGTGCAGCACAAGAGAGATCGTTATCCACGTTGTCATACCTGCATCATCTGAGCCATCGTGTCGTTGCCATAGTAGTGCAAAGAACTGTTTCTGTCAGTGAAGTCATACTTGAAGCCTGCCAGGTGAACTTCATGGCATATGTGAAATGCTAGAGTAATAGCAATTAGCCCCGTCGTCGGATGCTTGGGTTTCTGAAGTGGAACACAAAGAGCACACGTACGTAAATAACCAGCAGCTGGATGGGAACAGCAGCAGAAATCAGGCAGCCTGGCTCTTCGACACACATCTGCTTTTGTGGTTTGATCCCCTCATATACCATAACAAGTAAGGTGCTGCCCCCAAGTTTTCCATGACTGGGGTATCTGCCATGTTGGCCTTCCCAGGGATTTGCTGGTTTCTAGTGAGGGCTGAGCCCACACTGCAGTCCTTCCCTCAGCAGAGGCACCACGGAGGTCTCCCCATCCCTTTCACGAAATTGGTCAGGCTTCAATATATTGCAGACCATTTCACCCCACCAAATTCGACTGCATTAGCAGATGTGTTCAGAAGTTTCTAGACAACAGAGATCCAAACAAGCAGAAAAATACCATGCCTCAAATCTTGATAACATTATGCGACAAATGAACCAATGCTACTGCTGCACTAACTTGGCTACATTTTAACTTTTTCAGAACAGGGAAATTGCAGAAGAACACAGCTTTAGACCTTCCCCCACTGTTTCCATCAGAAGAAAATAAACTGTAAAATTGCTTATTTCTCCTGAGAGTGAGATAGCTCAGAAGTAAACGTAACGTAAAAATACCAAACACTGGTCACAAAGGGGTTTTAACCAAGCAAAATTAAGAGCACCTAATCAAAAATTAGCATTTCTTACAGGAGCAGAGAACAACACATTGCAACTACCTGTCCTGTCTCGTGATCAAGCATATGACTCTTAGCAGCAGCTAAAATGATCTCAGGCAGTAAAAGAGGCAAGGTTTGTACAGCGCGGTGAACTCTTCTTCCATTAGTCTCAGTGATGAAGCTGAGGGGGAAAAGCGCCCTCAGAAGTGGACAAAACTTTCAGGCACTAATGCCGTTAGCTAAAATAACAATTTTATCAGAGACTGAATGAGCTAAACACTTCCAGTAGCTGCAATCAAACCTCAGCTGAGCACAAAATCGTGTGCTTTTCTGATGCCCCAGCCAAGGCTCCGTTCATTTGCCTCTGAAAATGAAACAGGCAAACTAGTACTGAAACACTCCGCGCAGAGAGAAGGGACGCGCACTCCATGGTACACAAAGATATTTCTTTGCATGGTACGATACCAGAACAAATACCCAGGCAAAGATTACTAACATCAGCTCCGTAAGCCTAATTTAAGCCACAGAATTAAAATATCACATTTTATGTAAAATTTTTTCGTACCTTTATACGACTTTTGGAGTATTCCAAAAATAGCATCAACTTAAAACGCACCCCATTGCCCAGGGCTCCTGCCAGTCGGCAAAGTAACTCCCTGCCCTGGGGGCCCAACAGCATAAACTTGGTGGTGACTCTGTCGCAATGTCCATACTAAACAGGATCCAAAAATTATGGCAGGAAGTCTACGTGTCAGGATTAGCGCTATTTCTATTTGGAGTATCAGGAACAGCACAGGGTGCAGCCAGCTCTGTTTACCTTTGGCTATCACAATGTTCCCCTTAAAAGAACATACCAAAAAGAGCAACGCTACTTTTAAAATGTGTTGTCGCACCAGCACCCTGCCAATAGCTGGATATCCTCGGCCTGTAATGAAATTTGTTCAGCCAGTCACGGTTAATGGGAACAGGCGCAGTCCTGGAACGACTCTGCAACGCTTTCTGACTTCAGTGCTGCTCGGGCAGCACATCTGGTTTTACAGCTGTTCTTCCCGGCCCTGCTAACACCATCGCAGTTGCTAGCAAAGAAACAGGAACACTTGCTGGGCTGCACGTGACACGCAGAAAATGCCAGGATGGCTTAATGGAAAAGGCAGAGACAGCGGGAAAGCGACCGCGGCCCTCGGCACCTGCTGCAGGCAGAGGGGGCTGAAGCACAGCAGAGCGAAGGCAGCACCAGCCCTCCCCGGGGATGCCCTGCGGGGACAGAGGGCTCCAAAGCTGCCCCACGAAAAGGCCACCCGGCCAACAGGACCCCCCGAGGCAGGACCTGCAGCCTAACCAAGCCACTACGCAGCAGCTGTGCCAGAGCAGCTGCAGATGTTCATTCTTCCAGCTACAGCCCGCCTTGGAGATGGGAGGAAAAGTGAGGACAAGCATGCCTGAGGTTGACCATTGCTGCCGCCTGGGACAAGGGGCTGCAAAAACCCTAGGACGGAGCAAGTGGGACGTGGAGGTGGTGGAAAGGAGCTTCAAGCATGGGCGCACTCTGTCCCAGCTCTGGGCAGGGATGCCCAGCGAGCAGGAGCGGAGCAACGGGCGTGCACATTACCCCAAGTGACCAAGGGGTCGGTGGTACCAGCTCCAGGACACTGCGCTCATCTGTTTGGCTCATTGGCAGCACTGGTCTTGCTTTTACCCGCACTGAGAGGGGAGCACAGGAAGAGACAGGAGGGATTTCTGGAGCCATGGAGGCCACAGACGTTCTGTGGCTCTTCAGGAGATCATTAGATGCCCAACTACTACGCTGCTTTCTTCCCACCCTCTGTTGAAGAGCTGAAATGTCACAGAGCCCCAGCAAGCATGCAGCCAAACTGGGTAGTCCAGTTTGAGAGTTAATAAGGGAAGAAAAAGCCACTAGTAGGCTCAAAAAAAACCCCACCAACAAACAAATAAAAAAAAAAAAAGGAAAAAACCTCAACTCCCTCAAATATTAGAAAGATTAAATTAGAAAAAAGTTGTGGTAGATACTCCACAGTGACAGCCTGTCAAACGTTTCCACATGTGTCAGCTGGCTGATCTCAATGAAGCAGCTCTGTTCCCTGTGACCCCAGGGAACCGTATTTGTGCCAAACGGCACATGGTCAGTCCAGACTACGCAAGGGAGGTCTCCAGCTTGAAGCCTTATCTTTCATCAGAAACGTTCTTCAGTCATGAACTGACAGTTAAAATGTATTTTTACGTCCAAATTGTTGGTTAACTCCTAACAATGCTTGGCATTGCATCGGTACGCCCAAGAATGCTGCTAGACACGTCATTAGCGCAGGCTGGAATAGCCTGTGTGCTCCCTAGTCCCTACCCGCCCCCAGCAGAGTGAAACTGCAGCAGCGTTAGAGTTACTGGGTTGTTGGGGGGTTGGTTTGGTGTGGAGGTTTTTTGGTGTTTTGGTCTTGTTGGGGATTTTTGGTTTGTTGTTTTGGGGATGGGGGTTTTTTGTTTGTTTTTAAGAAAAACTATAAAACATCCTACATTTAATAATTCAAGACTCCTTAGTACTTCTACAGACTCTTCAGATGTGCCATGTACCAATGCCTGTCTGCTCTTCCCAATTTTGTAAAATGAATTATGTGTGTCTGCAAAAGCAGTCTCGTTTAACACTAACTACAGTATCCATAAAAAAGAGATTTTTGGCATACAAGGCTACCCACTTTCTTTCTAGATTCTATTTTCTCATCTTTTTTGAGGACCATCAAAATGCAAACTAATGCAACGTGAACTTAAAAGATGTTCTAACATAGTCCACTATAACGAAGAGATAATTACCTCTGAGTACACATTTGATTGCACAAAACTGAAAGGCACAGAAGAAAAAAGCCCACCTCCTTTTTAGGAAACCTGGTTGGGAAACGAAGCCATTCATAAGCCGTTTTTCTGGTGATGCTGGGATCAAGAATTCTGATTTGACTAGATTTGTATATCATGTTCAGAGCTGGTTTCTTCCAAAAGCCTTTAGCACTCTGTAACAGGCAAGCAAATACACATTTTTAACAGCTACAAACAGTTGATTTTGGTTTTGTAGCAACTCTAACCAGAGTAAAATCCAAAGGCAGGAGATTGAGGAAGAAGAGAACCGTCGAACCTCTCAATGCTCAACAAAAACACATGTCAAATCCGGCTCCTGCAACAGGCTAACCCACTACAGGGTTATAAAGAAGGGTCTGAGGAGGCTGGGTTTGTTCAGCCCATCTTCAACTATCTGGTAGGATTTTACAAAAAAAGACAGCATCAGACTCTTCTCAGAGGTGCACAGTGAAAGGATGCAAAGAAATTATTTCCTGTGAAGGTGCTGCAGCACTGAAATAGAGGTTATAGAAATACCCCTGGAAATGCTCAAAACTTATCTGGATGAGTCCTTGAGAACCTCGTACAGCTTTGAACTTGGTCTTTCTTTCATTCAACAGGGTTCTGGACTAAAGACCTCCAGAGAGAGGTCCCTTCCAACGTTATTCTGCAATTCTACCAAATGCACGGGATAAAATAAACTGGCGAATGTCTGGACCACGCATATCAGAATACAAAACAGTGCTAGGAAGAGGATAAAAAGGTATTTTCAAGAGAAAAACTGCTTTGAGGTGAGGCACTGATCAAATATGTGGGTGAGAAAGAAGACAGAAGCATTTACAGGAAAGGAGAACTGAGCAGACTGACTGGGAGATCCAGTGCTCCCAGCTAGGAGGGCCAAAGTTAAAAACAAACCAGGTATTTCACGAGAGGCGTGTAGCAAGCTAAGCCAAAGTGCATGAATAATTAATAATTACACTTACTATTTTCTGACCACTTAGTATCTCCCAAAGCCACTTCAAGTCACGTGGTTTGAAGACGATGAGGACAACAGTCGTGTTAGGGTCGTAGTGGATCGGATCTGAGAAGATAGATTCTGGGTAAGAGAGGCGGAAAGTCGTCCTCCTCCCAACATCCTCTTCATACCCTATAACAGGGCCATTATTCATTCTGCAGAGGACAGAGACACAGAGATGGCAATGACGACCCCACCCATGTCCTTTTACTAGGCAGTGACTAGCACACAGGTTAGTTTGTGGGGCAGAATGTGCCTCCAGGTACAGGAGGGTTTAGCAGCCCAGCATTTACCTGTCACATTACATGGCAGATAAGCAATTATCAGGTGCACTCACTCTCTAACCCAGAGGGATCAAGCACATACGGGAACTTGGCCAAGGTGGTTTAGAATACAGTCACACAATGGCTTATCGTGTGTCACTCACGCAGGCAGCCTTCTGATTTAGCTCAAATGCAGAAACTGGAGAAGACCGAAGAGAACATCTGGCTTGGAGAACCACCCATTGCTCCATCCATGCTGCTAGGTTATCCAAGTCACACAGGAGGCAATTCAAGAATGTTTTAATACTCTTCACTGTCTACAGCACACAGGGACAAGGATTATGACTGTGTACCTGATGCTGATATATCTTTAAGTATGGGCTATTTTGTTTATTTGGGATTTTTGGGTGGTGGTGGTTTTTTTTGTTTGGTTGGTTTTTGTTTCTGTTGGTTTGTTTTTTTTAAAATAGTGCTTGTGCTGCTGCCACTGCTTTGGGATATAACAGATTAATGAGCAGTGAACAGGTGGGTCAGGCCTCTTCTGCTCTGAGGTGTTAGAGAGGTTGTGTTTAAGTCTCTATCTTGCAGTTTTTGCTTGGTGGCTATGTTGCATATTTTTTTGAGAATTCAGGCAGCCTGTGCCTGCTCCATTCCTGCCACTGTGACTGACTTCTCTGAATAGGAGGCATGCTGCTTAGGCGCAAACATTTGCAAAACAAGACACACAGACAAGGGAATATTTCAGAGTTTTATCAGAAGAAGTTATTAAATACAGAATGAAAACATCACCTCTTTGTCCCTTCACAGAAAATAAATGTGTACTGTATTTCTGAAACAGTTTTGAATTTAGAGCTGGTTTTAAATACGTGACACCAGTCTACATAAAGATTTCCATTTACTTGCCATAGCTTGAAAATAATTCATAGAGCTTCCTTGCATCATCATACTACAGTGAAAAAAATGCAACACGTTTGTTTGGGGTTTTCTTGTAAAGCACAAAGCTGCCAGGCAAGTAAAGTTTCCTAAGAACAGGGATATTATCTCAATCACTTTCTATAGTTTTAAGTTTGTAAGAAGAGCAACAACTGAAAAATTCCATGTATTCATTATTAGTATGTTTTCAAATGTATGTCAAACTCTAGGCTTTGAATAAAACTTTTGATGGTAGCACTTCAAGACTGAAACACTATTGCTAAAACGAGCATTAGGATTGATGGCAAAGTAACAAAAATGACAGTTTGTTCAGTGTTCAACGCAATGTTGAAGCAGACAAACTGAAAGGGCAGCTGAGCATTAGGATTGATAGCAAAGTAACAAAAATGACATTTTGTTCAGTGTTCAACACAATGTTGAAGCAGACAAACTGAAAGGGCAGCTCAGAGGTTTTAGCGAAACAGGGTTCAGGCACACTATCTGACATGGTATCTACAAGAAGGGCTGCTTCACCAGTAACTATCTCTGTTTCTGCAAAGGAAGAACTGATTTATCTTTTTCTTATTGTGCAGAAAGTTCTCTCATCATTAGCCAAATAGACCTTTTCCAGTTTGCTTGGCATTTGAACTTTATTTTTCCTCCTCCTTGTCTGTTTCTCTGAGCACTTCCCCAGTGTCCCTAGTCCAGATGCCTCTTCTTCAGACCCCAGCATCCTCTTGTAGGTCAAGACATTTCATAAGTTTCAAGTATGAGCTAACACGTTTGAGCTAACAGGGCAGACATCAACATCATCCTTCAGCTGACGTGTACCTTGAGGTAAACTTCCCAGTATAAACGTCAGATGTAATCCCCATGCCAGCACAGGAGTAAGACAGGCACGGTGTGGAAGGCAAGAGGGAAGGCTGCCCGGGATGCTGGCTCACAGCAAGAGGCTCTGGGCTATCACATGCTTGGACACATCGCTGATGACAGCATCTTGCAAGCGTGTGTATCTGTACATGAGGCAGACTGGCCACTCAGTGATCCTTCCCCCCTCTCCCATATCAGTCTTTGTAATAAAACACTGATTATTTTTTTCCTAAAATTTTTTAAGTGTAGGTCATGACAGAGTACGTAAAATGGGAAGTTTTATGCATTTTCATTGTATGATAACTGAACTTCAAAGCTACTGGCTGACAGCAAAAGTTCGTTAATCTTTACACACACAAAATGAAAAGGGGATACCATTTACCTTATTATCACGTCATACGAGTCAATTTTCTCCCCTAATGTCTTATTTCGAAGTACTCCTCCATTACCGACCACAACACACCGTCGACAGGCAATGCTGAGGAACAAACAGAACTTTAATACGGACAACTTCCCTGGCTTCACATTGCTATTAACGATATATTTGCATTTAGCTGATTTATTTACTAACTAAGGTCCAGTATCTTTTAGGCTTCTTGTCCCCTACAGAGCCATCTCAATCCTGTATCACGTTCTAAGGCTGCTTTAGAAAAAAATGCAGCTGCATTATCTCAGGGACTGCTAAAGTCAGAAAATGGCTTCTCTCATGTAAAACTGTACTTACACATGTCCTTTTTCTAGTGGTTTGCTGTTTAAGATCATCTAACCACAGCTGGTGATATGTGTGCTGTTAAGAGAAATTATCTTCCACAATACTTCTAATTTGTCCTAGTCTGGATACATCAACCAGGATCAAGTATGTCTGGAAACACTAACTCAAACCAAGGTGCTTCTGCAAATTGCACAACTCCGCAACTGCAGCAATCTCCAACGCAGACTATAGTGGCAAAATTTATGTTCGCAATTACCTTACAGGCATCTGAATTGTAAATGTGAAAAACCTTAGTCCAATGACATGTGATGGCTCTTCACACGGATATAATTATGTTGGTTTTCCTCTCTCTATTTAGAAAGGGCTGCCTAAACATGTTTAAATGTGTGCCAAGAAGTGCATGTTGTCATGACATAACACAAGTGGTATGCTTGATTAAAGGCTGCATTCTCATGTGACTGGATTAAAATTAGACAGCATTACTAAGTATATAAAGCACTTTAATATAATAATATATCCAATCAAAAGAGTAATTCAAATTTAGAATATATTTGCAGATAAAAAGCACTCGAGAAGGTATTACACAAATGCTAAACTTATGAAAGGAAATTGTAATCATAAAATCTTCCAAGCTGTCGTCCCAGGTTTTCCAATTTTATCTTTTACTCTGTATCGTCTTATTTCAATGCTAGCAAAATGTGTGCTTTACTTAAGAAACAATGCCTTGTTAGGGGAGGTTTATATCCAACGTGTAAGATTCCAAACTCCTCCTTACAGACCAAGCACATCATTTTTTGCCGCAAAATGCCTCTTTGTCTGGAGCAAAAGCAGTTCTTCAACTTGGTTGCAGTAGGAACAATGGCAAAATACAAATGTAGGTATTCACCTCGGACTCGAACACGGTCACAACTTAATGAGGATGAGCAACCTCCCAACATCCCACCCCTACGGTTCTTCAAGCAAGAAAAAGGCTCTATGACATTTCTTACGGTAAAGGACCTCAGAAGTCAGTCACAAAAAAATGTTGTAATCTGTATTAAATGCCCAGTGTGGCCCTTCATGCAGACTAATTAACATCTTTCTCCCCAGGTAGTCCAACCTGTTTTTTTCACCCGAATATTATTCACCCTGTTTTTTCACCTGAAGAGAGCATTATTCAACATCAATGAAAAGAGACTGTTCCAGCCCCGACTGACCAACAGCCCAAAGAG